GTACTTATGAAAGCTTATTGATTGATGCTTGTCTAATTTTAAGTTAAGTAGACATATGTGGATATGTTTAATTCTTCGTATAGATCAAATGGATAAATAGGATCGTTCTCATTGAGTAACTTGTTACTCATCCCTCTTTCTCTTTCAGGTGAGTTCTTCAAGTAAACTCAAGTTGAAGTCGCATTGGTGCTATTCCAGGAACAAAAGGGTGTTTCATTTTTATATATTTCTAAAGATATTTACGATGCTTTATTTTTCTAAGTTTGAATTACTGTCTTCTATTAAGAAGTTTTTTTTTTTATTTTTCTCAGTTTTATTTACACAAAGAATTTTCAGATATTTATTAAATATCTAATGAGTTCGTTAATATTTGAAGAGTTGTTAAGTGAGTAATGTTTAAGTTATGTTAAGTTTTCGAGATTAGGGTGCCTCACTTTCTCTCTATAGACCATAAACAGCAGAGTAGAAGACATATCTTATGATAAAAAGAGGAAAATCCCCGAGATGACTTTGAGATGACGTGCACAATTAAGCACCAGGTCGTTGTGTAACTTTCCTTGAGAATTCCTTTGGTGAGAGCCTCCCACACTTGTGCTGAGAAACGATAAGAAAATAAAAGATGGTCCCTTGTTCAACTTCATTTTCTAAATTGTCCTCTAGCATCTATAATTAGTTTTTAATGAATTTAACTAAAATGAAATAAAAAGAGTATATTTTCTTATACATGGGGATTTCCAATTTTTTGATAGATCAAAATCAGGAATAGCAATGGTTTATTTGTTATGATAACACCAATTAGTGGTACCCACAAGAAAGAAACGTGACCCGAATTATACTAAATTGCATAAACTAAGATCATCTACAACCCTGAACCCCATGATAGGGTTCATCAGTATTTTTTAATAATTTTTGGAGGAGAGAGAATGTGGAAGAACTTTGGGTGAAAAATAGGTGTCCAACCCTGATATCCATTTTGGGGTTCAACAGAACTATTTTAAACATTTGAATTATTTAAAATGAAAAAAATTTATTTAGTACATATAATTTAAAACTAAACAAAGAAATTGAAAAAACAAAAGTAAAAGTAAAACTAGTAATCTTCTAGATGGAATTAAAACTTAAGAGCAAGTCCACTAGTAAACGAGTTCAACATAGCACAGAAATAATTTTACATAAACATTCGATTGGAGGGGAAGATTGGATTCGAAGTCGCGATTTTCACAAATCGCCTTGCAAATTATTTTTTTTTTTGATAAAAAGAGAATGCGAAATAAACCCCAAATGTTCGACCCCGACCCTAAAAATTTTCCCCAAACTTCAGCCAATCACTGCTTGCAACGTAGGCCGTTGAACCTCGACGATACGGGCTCGTCGGGCTCATCCCAGAGAGACAATATTATCGAGTTTTTGGGCTTAATCGATTAATACAAATTAAAATAATGGTTTTGAACCCTACGGATGAACTCCGTCCATACCGCGTTGTGGATGGTCTAAGCACATAACACGCGCTGTATTATCCATCATCTATGAGGGAAAAGAAAACAAAGTCATCTTGACTTTTGATTAAAAAAAAAAAAAGGAAGTGAATAACTAAAAACGACCTCGAGACCGATAATTCCATATTCGCATGGTAGTTGTTTCTTGTAGCGACTATGATCAACGCAGAATAATCAAAGTCTTCTTCATGAACAAAGGCTGCTTTAGGTCCTCTTAAATCTTATCTATATTTGAATGGTGACTAAGTTTAAGAGCTCGTTCGTTTTTGTATTTGGAAAAGCTACATGTATCATCTCTATTTAACTTCCAAATGTTATTCGTTTATTAAACTATGCTTTACTAATCTGAGAGTTCATAAAAATGTTCATATTTCCACCAAGGTTTTAGTGTAAAAGAAACATAATCCTCAACAGGATCAATAATTCGATCATGAGAGAAATCGGGATGATCAACTCCTTCGTTAACGAGGTTAACTAGCTCTTGACACACACTTTCAAACCAAGCCCACTTTAATCCCTGTAACCTGACACCAGATCACTTGAAGTGAATGTAAAAATCAGTTCTTCTGCATAGCCTGAATGAACATGCTTAGCCTCTGAACTAATTATCAAAGCTGCAGATTTTTCGTTATAATCTTTCTTTGTCATGAATCTCAGTGGCTTGTGAGAATAGAATATCTCACATCCATAGTTGAGATGGGACATAAATAATATATTAAATTAAACATTCAATACATTCATTATCAATTGATTTTGAGCCAGAAGCCTATAATAACTAAGTTCATATTTAACACCATCATCTTAATCGTAAACGCTTTTAGTGATGTTCTTAATATGATCAAAGACTTGTAAATGAAGACTTACTCATTAATTGACTTCCATATCCTCTAGATTAACCAAAATGGTAATAATTTAACCTGCATATGTATCATATAGCGCACTGATGGATGAGTAGTATAGTTGTTTTATGTTATCTTCGAGCTCATCCCTAGGGTTTATCAAAGCAGCACTAGGTATTCCAGAAGTTCTACAAGTTTCTCGGGCATACCTACTTTTAAAAAGAAAATGATTGATAGTTGTACTTAGATAAATTTTTTTGGTTTACGAATTTGCCAAAACAAAAATAAATATTAATGAAAGTTTATGTCAAAATGAAATAACATAGTGTTTCTCAATAACAGTTTTTTCGAATGATTGACATTTTTTTGGTTTATGTTTTTGGTCAAACTAATTTAACTATCAAATAATTACCATCTCTAATTTATAATCTAGTTTTACTAATATAAATAGAAAAACTTGTTTTTATTTAAATAATCTAAATCCTCCGTTATAGCCCCATAACAATGTTTCACGTTCTCAAGGACAAAACTCACGATCTTTGATTACGTTTCAGCTGGTTTTAAGTCAACTACGGATCTAAATGCTGTATCAAAATGTAATATATGTACTATGGAATTTGGTTTTAATGTAAATCCTTTTTTCTAAGAGTCACTTTAGGAATTCTCTCATGGTTTCTTTTGTGTTTAACTTGTTTAGGTTTCCTAGTCTATTTAGCTTTTAGTAGAGGAACCTAAGAGTTTCGTTTTCAATTACTTTGATTTGATTTTTGATAAGAGCTTGGGGAAAAAAAAAAGTCTTCTTTTAATTTTTGGGCATCCGTTTAGTACAGGGACCTAAGAGCTTCGTTTTCAGTACGTTGCTACTTGCTAGTTGCTACATAAATAAAAAGAAAAGTCTTCTTTTAATTTTGGGCATTCTTTGAGAATCAACAAGTTTGAAAAAGATTGGTTAACTGGTTTAGTGGTATTCTAAATGTTCAACCTTATACTACCGATACTTTCATTTGGCCACTAATTTAGGGCTTGACTGGTTTAAATGCAGTGGCGATTGTGAATGCGGGAGTTTGCGAAAGCGGACGATTGCGGTTTTGAGCGTTATTCAGCGGTTTGCACGACTGGTTAAATTTTTTAAGGTTATTCCGTTTGTGAGACATTTTTGACTGGCAAACCAACAATTGTTTTAGCGGTTAAACATAAAATTATCAAAATAAACATCATAAATAATTATAAAAAAATAGAAAACTATATTATTATGATTAATATCAAAATTACTAGTTCAAAATAATTAATAAAAATTATAAATAATACTAAATAATTAATTTAAAAACTAATAAATTTTATAATAATATGTTTTATTTCAATTATTGGGAACATCACCCAAAATTGTGTCTAGTAATGTAATAGACAGGAAAAAATTTGCTTCAGTACGTGGATCTTCTGGATTTGTCTTATGCATGATGTAAAATTTCTTCAATTGATCTAATCGATTTTTTGCACGACCCTAACTCAAATCAACTCCAAATTGCTCATTAGTATTCTTCAAAATACGTTCTTTTTGAAGTACACTAAAAAATCTAGGATATTTATCTTGAGTTTGTTTTTCTACAATGATCCGCTAAAGTAACACACATGTCATCTCGTTTGATCATGTAACTTTCCGAAGAACAAAAAAAGAGAATTATAATAAACTAATTTTGTAATTAATAAGATACATATTTATAATTTTTTACTTTAAAAGTGGAAACAGAATAATTAATATAAATGAATTAAACTAAAATATTATGTTACTTATGCTTGTATTTTAATTAATTTTCTTCAACTGAATAAAAGTCATGATTAGAGACTAAAATTTGATAGATAAAGTGAAATGTTAGGGTTTATATATACAGGAAAAGATTAGTTGGGTTAGGGTTTTATAATTGTTTTTTAACGTGATATTCTATTTTTTTTCTAGCGTGATTTTTTTTTTATCCAACCGCTACCGTCCGCAACCGCAAACGCTGGCGGGAAACAGCTTTTGGATTTCAGCGGTATAAAACGATATGAAATGGTTTGCAACGATTTCTATAATTGTGATAAAACGCCACTAACCGCTACCAACCGCAAACGCTGAGTTTGCTGGTGATAGCGGGTGAACCAATCAACACTTTAAATACCATGGCGATATCCAAATACATAGCCTTTTTATCCTGTCTAAATTATTATACATAACAAATTATTAAGATAATTACATATTCTTTGACGGACAATCTTCTAAACTATTCTACACCCTTACAAAGATGACAGACGGTTAAGAAAGCCGTTGTCACCATTACCATCTCTGGCTCTATCCGCTTTAGCCATCACGCTTTAATGATTAACATTGAATCCAAAAAAAAAAAAACATTTGTGACCAACAAAAGTCCAAAGGCATGCTCGTTCTCGTAGTTAGTTGTTTCAATGGTATATCATATACTCGCATTCAATATCCAGATTTAAAATCCAATTGTCGTTGTTTTTTTATTAGTCTTATTTTTGTCTTTGAGTTGAATTTGTTTGTTTGTGAGTTTACCAAAAAGAAATATGGATGCATTTTATACAAAAATGACATAATACCTTGAGTATTTCTTAAGTTTGTAGTTTATATGAAACGTATAGTAGGACAGATAAGACAGAGAGATTAGGGTTCTTAGGTAAGTGGCTTACTAGTAGATCAGCTCTTATTCGTATTTTTTAATACATATTGATACACACAGCCTGCATATGATGGTCTTTATTGAAACATATAAAAACGTATGTTTTGTATGCACGTATTTTTTATGTGTTATACACATAAATCACTCATTAGTAAGGCTTCTGGTTCGCCCAATTGCCAGAGGATCATAGCTGCAAACGATGATGGTTCCACCATTGTTACACCTCACTTTAGCACATCCGAGTCTGGCCGAGTTTCTCCAAACGACCTGAGTGTAGTGACCGCAAACTCCGTTGCACGTGTTCGAAGGGTAGTTGTAGTTAGCCTTCTCGTTAACCCACAAGTTCACGGCTCTGACGCCAGATAAGTCGCTGCTACCCCAGGCCAAGTTCTCGCCGTAAGGACCACCAGAGTGTATGAGCCTGCAGTCGCCTCTTCGTTGGTCTGCGTAGCTACGAGCATAGGCTGCAACCCTCTCGTCCCACTGAATGGGGGCTACTCCGACAGCTGTTCGTGCCTGGTTGTGAGCTGTTAGATAGTCTTGTGGGCTGTCTTGAGCCTTCGAGGGAAGAACAAGAGTGGCTAGAAGAGCTGCTAAGATTATTGGAATGAGTTTCATTTTTTTCTTATAACTGATATAATTGTTACTTCCAAGCTTTGTTGTGATATGATCTTAGGGGTAAAAGAGCATGGTTTATATAGAGCCGTTAGCAATGATAACTCTCATGTTTTGAGCCGGCATAAGAAAACTACATTTTGGTGCCACATCGTTATAAAAATCAAACTATGAATATTTGTCAATATTACCAATTAAGTGGTAGTGAATTAGCAGTTCCCACTTGTTGAGGAACTGCACCTTCTCCCCAATCAAAAAAATTATCTAAACATTCTCATTTGATCAGCAGAAATAGTGTCATGTTTCAACCCATTAAAAATCCGTAAAACATTAATTTGAGGGTAACTTTTACCCCCGGATCACCCCATCAGTATAATTAATATATATATATATATATATATATATATATATGTCAATTTGTCCATAAAATATTTTTGGAATATTCCATTTAAATTTTTTGTATTGGTTTTTTTTGTCATTTTTTCATGTAATCATCAACTAAATGAAATGTCAAAAAACAATATGTTAAGTAAAAATGTTTATTAAATCTCTTGTTTCCTTAGTTATTTACATTTCTAATTAAATCTTCTTTTTCAATATTTATTCAAAGTTTTTTCAATCGATTCTGTCTATATATTAGATAAATTATGTGGTACGTCTCTTTTCCTTTCCAACTATGGTACGTTTCAAAAGAGACATATATAGTCACGTGTATATAACTGTTTAAAAATAATTAAAAAAAATGAAGAATAGCCATTCCTCATGACCACCTGAGCAAGAAGATTGACGTCGCTACCCGGAATCGCTTGAACACAATCTGCCAGCAAAAACCATACAAAGACGGTCTGCAAGTTTGGTTTGCTACCCGAAGCACCCACTAAATAATTTGAATCTCAGTCATATTGAGTCGTATCGTTTAAGCAAAGTTGTAAACGTCAAAAAACATTCTCTGTAAACAGTTTGTTTTTTTCTTGAATATAATTTAATATTTTATTCAAAAAAAAAAAAAAGAAGAATAGCCTTTTAATGTTTAATGCATGTACATATATATGACGTCATGGGAAATGGACGACTGGACGTCAATGGCGACGTAAGCAAAACAGCGAGATAATATATGAGACGTTTACACTTTTTAGCACTTTTTGACTTTCTATTTACAAAATTTCGCTCTTTTATTTTATGCAGCACTTTTAAATGGGTTATGTGTGTGAAATGCCATTGTAGTCCTTATCAGACAATATCTCCAATTGGTCCGGTTTAATATAAGTTTGTAAACCGAATTTGTATTACTTGTATTTTCTTCCTCTTCACGAAGTCATCTCTGGATCTCCGTAAAACTGGAATTGGAAACACGATTATGATTATTTCGTGTGAAGGATCTTTTAGTTATAAATTATCAAAATTTGACGTCGTTATCTTTTGTATTCATTGTTTTCGTTCTTGATTAAGATCTATAGCTTAAATATACATCTTAAGAAACACAAATTTGGATTAAAAGGTGTTCGTTTCACTCGTCTTTACAGCAACACGACTAAATTCTGGCTACAGTTTTTGGGTTAAGGTTACTATCGAATGTCGGCAACGATATGTGATTTTTTCGTGTTAGCTATCCATGTATTTGTTTGTGGCTGAAAACGAATTTGTTGATGTGAAGGCTGTGTACATAGCCATGAGTGTATATACAATCTGCTTATAACTTCGAGAATGTGGACGTATGTTTCAGAATATAATAGTTAATTCGATGTGGGATAGGACCAATTTGCTAAGCATTGTTAAAAAAACATTTCTAAAAGTTGGCAAAGCAGATATCATAAACTCCAAAAAATAGTAAATGTGGATATAGCCATTTAATTGCAAGAGAAAGTTGGAGGCTTATAATCCACCACAGATTGTTGAGGTGGCAATAACTATTAAGAGGTGGAAATGTCCACAGTATGTTGCGAAGTTGGAGGCCATATATTTATATTTTGAAGTCGTTGGAGGACCATAACTGGGATTTGTATGTTTTGAAGCTGTGGTGGTAGTGCATATCATGGAAGTGGTGGTGGACTTGCCATAGAAGTTGCCTCAAAAGTTGTTAAAGTGTGTAGTTGTAGTGAGATAGTTGTTAAAGAACGGTGGAACGCATAACGTAAACCCGTGGATATGTTCATATCCAAAGAGAAATGTCCACGTAATCTGTGATAATGACGATCTTTAGAAAATAGGTGACAATGGCCAGAGCATGATCTGTGGATATGTAGTAATTGATAAATGGACATGACCATGCATAGTCGATTTCTATATAGCAAATAGTAATATTTGATATATGGATATGACTATACGATGACAAGAAGATGTCCACATGATCTGTTATTATGACGAAATGTTAAAAAAATGCTACAATGGATGACATGACTCTTACATATATATATGAGAGCGTATGTGGACATGTACACAGATATTGACTATCAGTAATTACTTCTGTTTATTGGGTTTTGAATGATTGTTAATGATAACAACATACCTAAATATATGGATATAGCCATGTGCGTAAAAAGCACATGAAAGTGTCCCTGTTTGGTTATGATACCAAGAGACATAAATATATGGATATAGCCATGTGAGTAACTCTGATATCAATGCACATACACGGTGGACATGGTCGGATCATACTATGGAGATAATGAGGAATTGCCTCTTTACAACGTTATAAAAACTGTTATAAAAACTGATGATTTCCGACGCCGTTATCGTTTGGGTCTCGATTGTTTTCGTTACCGATTTGAATCTCTAGTTTGCGACAACCGTCAGGAACCCGACTTGAGATTAGTGCTGACTTAAGAGATCATATATGGATTTAAAGAGATCACATGAAGGTATTCACATGGTCTGTGAACATAAACATAAAGGTGGGGCATGAGTAATCGCTTCTGGCTGATGGGGGCATGAGTAAGAGCTATCCATGGACACATACATGATCATAAACTGGTTATATATGGATATAGCCATATAGGAATGTAAAGAGGTCCCATGAAGGGTTTCCCTAGTTAACGTTATGTCTATTTACTTAAGAGTGCCATATAACCGTGGACATAACCATGGAGTTGACACATGAATTGACTCATTACTCATGCCCAACTATATGTATGTGTACATGTCCCAACTATATATGTACATGTCTTTTTCGGTTGGTGTGTTTTGAAAAGATGGAATAATCATTGAAAGGTTATATATGGATATAACCATATATAGATTTAAATAGATCACATGAAGGTGTTCACATGGTCTGTGAACATAAACATAGAGGGGGGGGGGGGGGGGGCGGGAGACCATATATGGATATAGCCATATAAGAATATAAAAGAGTTCATATGGTTATATATGGATATAGGTATATGGATATAGCCCTACTGATTGTTGACTTAAGCTTGAAAACATTCTAGAAGTTAGTATTTCCTATTAGGATTAGAATTATGTTTAGGAGTTATCTAAACATCTTTAGGAGTTATCTAAATATCTTTAGGAGTTATCTATAGAAAAATGAAATATATAATTCTATTAGGAAGAGGTTTTATTCTATATAAGGAGCTGCAAAAGTGTTGCATAACTTATGAGTTTAAGGTTTTGAGAGCTTAAGTTTTGAGAGATTTTCTTAAGCTAATAAAGAGAGTTATTCTTTATATTGAGTTCTTAATCTATCTTGAGTTCTATAATTTCTATAATTGGTATCAGAGCTTAGAAGAAAAACGATCTAAATCAAACAAGTATCAAGACATGGGAGACATCGTACAAAGCCCTACCACACGACCAAAGGAACCGAGTATATCTTCCATTCAATTTCCTATGCTAAGTCAAACCAACTATACAGTTTGGGCCATGATAATGAGGGTTTTACTTAAAGTGCACAAGGTTTGGGATATCATTGAGACAGGATCAACCGATGCAGAAAAGAATGATGTAGCAACAGCGTTATTGTTTCAATCGATTCCCAAAACACTTGTGCTTCAGGTCGGAGAACTTGAAACAGCGAAGAAAGTATGGGAGGCTATTAAAACGAGGTATGTCGGAGCAGAGAGAGTCAAAGAGGCAAGGTTACAGACACTAATGACAGAGTTCGATCGAATCACAATGAAGGAAACCGAGACTATCGATGATTTTGGAGGAAAATTATCAGAAATAGCATCAAAGTCATCGGCCTTAGGAACAAGCATTGAAGAATCAAAACTTGTCAAAACGTTTCTTAAAAGCCTTCCTCGCAAGAAGTATATCCACATAGTAGCCTCGCTAGAACAGGTACTCGACCTAAAAACCACCACATTCGAAGACATCATCGGAATTAAAGGCTTATGAAGAACGTATTCAAGACGATGAGAATACGCAAGAAAATCAAAGCAAGCTTATGTACGCTGATTATGATACACAATCAAACTGAGATTACAACGGCGAGAACAGAGGAAGAGGTCGTGGAGGAAGGTTCCACAGCAGAGGGAGAGGACGCAGAAGGACAAACGGAACAAGGGATCTATCCAAGATCACATGTTACCGGTGTGACAAGACAGGTCACTTCGCCTCGAATTGTCCTGATCGCTTACTCAAGTTACAAGAAGCACAAGAGGATGTAACCGAAGACACGCAAGAAGCAGACAAGCTCATGATGCATGAGGTCGTGTACCTAAACGAAGGAAAAATAGTACCAAGTAATTACGAAGCAAGCACAAGCAATGAAAATATTTGGTACCTTGATAACGGAGCAAGCAACCATATGACCGGAGATATGCGATATTTCTCCAAGATTGATACCTCCATTACCGGAAAGTCAGATTCGGTGATGATTCGCGGATAGATATCAAAGGAAAAGGTTCCATAGAGTTCACTGACAGAAATGGCGAGTCAAGAACAATGACCAATGTCTATTTTATCCCGGATCTGAGAAGTAACATCATCAGCCTTGGGCAGGCTACTGAATCAGGGTGTGACGTGAGAAGGAAGGGAGAATATCTAACTATGCATGATCGTGATGGGAAGCTGATCGCTAAAGCAACAAGATCAAGAAATCGTCTATA